GAAGGAAGGAAGGAAGGAAGGAAAGAGGGAGAGTAGGTAGGTAGGTAGATGTTTCCAGGTGTATTTATCCGTGTGTTGGAGAAGGAAATCACTGACAATCTGCAGCACCTAAGACTTTGTTTCTGCTGGCACAGCACTTGATCAATCTAATTCTCATCTATCACTCTAATTAAACAGCCTTCCGAAAGGGGAAAAACAAAAAAGTTTTTGCACTCTGCAAACCTCCCAAAAACGGCCTATTTTTTCATGAAAACGGGCCCGTTCCCCCCCCCAAAAAAGACATGAATAACCTTGGGGGGGGGCTTGCAGTGCTCCTGGAGGAGGGCAAAAATGAGCAAAAAATGGCCCATTTTTCACGAAAATGGGCCTGTTTTTTGTCAAAAAAAATTGCATGCATAGCCTTTTGGAGGCTTATAGAGTGCTGCTGGGGACTGCGGGGAGCAAAAAACGGCCCATTTTTCGCTCATTTCTGCCCTCCCCAGCCCCCAGGAACTCTCTGAAAGCCTCCATAAGGGTATGCACAGCCATTTTGGTGAAAGGGCAGGGCTTCAGGAAGCAAAAAAGGCTGCATTCGGTGTATAAGACTCACCCAGATTTTCAGCCTCTTTTTTGAGGAAAAAAGATGCGTCTTATACTCTGAAAAATACGGTAAGGAAAAAAGGCAACTCGGGAGTAAGACTCGGAGATGATTGGCCCCTCTCATAAGACATATAAGAGGAGCAAACGGATTTGAGCCTTTGCAGGAAGCAATTTGTTCATTCTGGTCGGTTCAAACTCTGAGATCCTCCGTTTGACTCTGCGTTACGTTTGGCCTTGCGAAACTAATTGGCCATTAGGTCTCTGGCAGCGTTTCAAGGGAGATAAAAGACGGGTGCTTATCAACATTGCCCTGAAAGGCTTTGGCAATTCGAGCAGACATCTGTCGGGCTCTTCACGGAGTGTTTATGAATCATTACGGGCTGTGAATAACCATAATTCACAGCCGTTTAAATAAAAGAGGGTTTGGGGGGGCTAAGAGTGTGATGTATGCTTTCTCGAGAAGCCTAGGTCAGAACTCACGGCCACGATTTCACTTTTGGTCGGCCCCCATCGTCGCTCCGAACCGTCCCTAAAACGAACGGCTGAAAGCCAAAGATTCATGGTCCCTTCGGATGTGTTCTCTCTCTTTTTTTTTTCAGGTGAAAAACCTGACAGAAGAAATGGCCGGTCTGGATGAGATCATCACCAAGCTGACCAAGGAGAAGAAATCCCTCCAGGAGGCTCACCAACAAGCCTTGGATGACTTCCAGGTTGAAGAAGACAAAGTCAACAGCCTGAGCAAAGCCAAGATGAAGCTGGAACAACAAGTGGATGATGTGAGTGGACCAAGGCCACAGGGGTGGGTGTCCGTCCATCCGTCGGGTGTTCTCGCTCCTCCCGGACTGAGTTTTGATAACCAAAGGTGGCAGCAGTGGTGGGATCCAGCCAGTTAAACAACCGGATCGGTGATCGCATGTTTCGCTGCAGTTTTACCCAAACGTACCTTCCATGTTACTTCTTGGGGAGTAACACAGCTGGGGCGCGGCCATCCGCTCTGCTGCGCCAATCAGCTGAGACGATATAGGTAAGCAAAGCACAAGGGCGAGAGGGCGGGCCCAGCTGATCATCGGAGCGAACCGGTTCGCACATACCGATTTGAACCGGCTGAATCCTACCCTGGGAGTCAGCCTTGTAGACAGATTAGGACTCTTGTGGTCCTCGGCTGGGGTGGGATGTCCATCCATCCTTAATTGGCCTCATCTGGAGAACATCTTCTAGAGGTTTGGGATAGGCGTGGCTTCTTCGTTTTAGGCGCCAGTGAGTTAGAGAGAGGAAGTAAAATCTACTCGATGTTTTGATTTTGGTTCGTGCTGGTTGATGATGGATGCTAGGGGTATTAAACGTGGAGTATCCAGAGAGAGTCAGAGGGTGAAGGTGGCATGGTTTGTGGTATAGCCCACCATCCATACTTATAATTTAAAGGGGCATTTGGTGGCATTCAGTTTTGTATTCAAAATCTTCTCTTTTTTCTTCCATCCTCTCTTTCCCTTCTTTCCTTCCTTCCTCTTTCCTTTCTTTCCCTCCTTAATCTGTCCGTTCTTTTTTCCTTTCCCTTTTTCTATTCTTTTTCCAACTTCTATTGTTCCTCCCTCCCTTTTTTCTTCCTTGCTTCTCTTCCTTCCTTCCTTCTCTTCTTCCTTCCTTCCTTTCTTTACTTTTCTTCCTTTCCTTCCTTGCTCTCTCACTTCTTTCCTTCTTTCCTTTACTCCTTCCCTCCTTCCTTTTTTATCTCCTGCCTCCTTCCCTCCTTCCTTTTTTATCTCCTGCCTC